ACGCTATGCCATGTCCACTGATCCATTATCTGTGAAATAAGGGCAGGGATCAAGCAGCTGTGTCCCTATGTGGTGCATTGCAAGGCTGCCCAGCTCATAGCTCTGGGATGAAAAGTTTTCCACAGTGAATTAAAAGCAAAAAGGGCTTCAAACATCTTAAGCTGTAACTGGCCTTCAGTTAAAGGAGATGATTAACTGGGTGTTCAATAACTAGGACCTCACAGCATTTAGTTCTGGAAACATTGATGAGTCAAATCAGGCAATGTTTATAAGGGCTATAAAATGAGTAATTCTGAATGTTTTATAAAGCAGTGACTTCAAAAAGGTGATTCCTTTTGCTTGTCTCTGATTTAGATCACAGGCCTTTGTGAAAGTGTCTGGTTTGTGTACATACAGAAACTGCACACTAATAAGCACTTTGATATTTTCTGTCTCAGTTTGAGTAAAACTGTTTGGAAAAATCAAGGGCTAGGTGGGGAGGGCAATGTTGGGGTTTCCTCAATAACTTATTCTGTTTTGGTAAATGTTACACATTCAGTACTTTTCCTCTTGCTGAGTTCCTTGGTGAAAGTAATTTGTAAGTATCATGATGCACTGATGGACTCATGTCCAGTTGTTCCAAACAAGCATAACATTTAGCTACTTAGCATGGATAGAAAACTGTAAAAATTGAGTTTAGTGCTAAAGCAATAGAAATAAAGGTGGTTTTATTTTTATTGCTTTAGCACTAATTGTGCATACATTGTTTGTGAGAGAAAGATTCTTTATTACCATGATACAGTACCTCTTACACCAAAAGACAAATAAAACTTTTAGTCATCACCATTAATACTATTTCCTATCACACTTCCATACACTTTTAATTTAAAATCTAAGGAAAAAAAAATTGTGTCCATTTTTGGAACTAAATCAGCTTATAATACAAGAATATTAATATCTTTGATCTGTCTCAAAGACTAACCTATAGAACAAGTTGGTTTATATAATTGTCTCTCTATCCACTTGTCCCTTTCTAAAACGTCTTTTATTTCAATGCCCTACATAGTTTCTTACTTTGTGGAACACAGAGTTCCAGTAGTATAGAGTTCCATTTGAAACTTTCATGCAGTTGCAATTCTTTAGTTTTACATCCTCCAGAAGAGAAAAGAAAAGCAGAAGTAGTGTTCATACACTGACAATAACTCTTGCAGGAAATAAAAGTAGCATTAGGTAAAGATTAATTATTTCATTCTCTCTCCCTGTGGGTGCTGCATATGTGTATGACCGTCACATTCTAGTACAGAAGAAAGAAATTAATCAGTGTTTAAATTGCAGATATTCCCTGTGTAATAACCTGATTTACTCAATCTAAAAAGGAAGGATTTTTCAAATCTGTCCTACCAATTTGATTATTTAAACAAATCTCATAAATCCAGATTGTTTGTCTTTTCTGTGTCATCTTGCTTTGTCCTCTACCTTGCATTAAAAAAAATTACTGCTTTTGTTGCATATTTCTATAATTGGAATATAATTATGTCACAAATCCATTAGTTTATTAGAAAAGTGAAGCTAGGAAAAATGGGGGGTTTGCCTGTTCTTTAAATTTATGTCCACTGATGACATTATTTCCATCCTCAGTGAGCAGTCCGTAAGAAGTGCTTTTAAGGGTTCCTTTACAGGAAATACTGAAAAATTATATTTAATTCATCCAGTTAAAATGTCATAAACATACAATGGTCATGCATTGTTTTCTACTGAACTTGGCAAATTTGTACTGTGAAATTGTTTTTTCATGCTATTTTGGCAGGAAAAGGCCAAGCAATTATTGCAATTTTGAAGAATCTGTGATCACAGAACAGTTATTTTCTTCTTAAACAAAATGTCTCTTTACAGAAAGGCATATCTTGGAAACTGTTTTACTGACTGTGTCATTGTCTGACTTAGCTTCACTTGACTAACTAGCATGTTTAGAGGATGAAAATAATCAGATGCAAGCATCAAAATCTCACTTTTTTGGATTGGCATTCAATTTGTTTGCAGAAATAATGATTTAAATCTTTTCAGGCCATAATTTTTATTTTGTAATTTTTATTTAACTGCTCCATTTTGTATAGCAAAACCAAAGGCAGATTTTATTGTTACCAAACAGGACATGTAACATGAATTACTTTGCACCTCAACCAATGAATCCAACCTCTCCTATAGCCCTCCTAAAGATGCCAGGTACTGCCCAGATGAGCAAACCCCCTGCTGCACCAAATGCAGTTATGAAGGAAGGAGGATGACTAAATGTTGAAAAGGGGAACTGACAGCAGAAGAACAGTGGAATAAAGACGATAGAAAAACACCAGGATGAATATTCCAGTGATAAGGGGGAGCTAACAGGGGAAGGTGCCAACAAGAACAAGACCCAGATGTCTACCAGAGCCCATTGAATATCAAGAGTCTGTATCATAATCAGAAGTTCTTACACCTCACTTTAACCAAGACCAGAAGCTGCAGTCCTAAGAATCTGGACACATGGAAGCATAGCAAGAAAACGGGAGGTTCTGGACATGCAGAACCCATTTTGGTAGCTTTGCTTCTGGCCCACATTTACTTTGGCTTTTAAATCTAACTTACATAATATCAGAGAGAGGAACCCAGGGATCAGGACAGCAATGACTTAATTTTAGATATTTCTTCTGTAGTTGTCTTTACCTCATGAGTGATATGAAAGAAGAGCGAGGCCTGGCAAAAAATATTTCCTTTGTAGTGGCACTATTGGAGGTGACCCGAATCCATCTTAGCTGGTGAGTTGCTACCTGCAAGTTATTGATTTATTTATTTAATTTAATTTTTCTGTGTCTGTCAGCCAAATGTCACTCAGGATGTTAATTCAAAATGTTCCCCGTAGGACTGAACTTGGAGCCCTGAAAAAAAATCCTTCACCACGTTCTGCTTACTGCTCCCTGCCTTCCTTCAGAGATATAGTCTGTGATCCACCCTTAAACCCAGATCTGCAATGAGGAAATGAATAGTGGAATTGTTTTCCCCTGAACATATAACTTCCTTAATTTATAGTTTCAATGCTCTATATGAATTTAAAAGGGGTCTTGGGATTTGAGCTATTTAACTGAGTGCTTCAGTGTTTCTTTCTGATGCTAATATATTTATTTGAGGATGAGCCCTCTAAGTATTTCTACATATGGATAACTAAGAACATGTTTGCCAGGTATTGTTGGCTTCAGTAATTCATTACAGCATGAATCTATATCAAATCCAGACATTTGGTTCATCTGTCATGAAGTGCATGTCATTAAAATGTTATTTTGTGAGAGAAAATATAACTAGAATGTGTTTATGTATTACACTGGTCGTTGTTCAGAGAGAAAGGGGAAGAGAATGAATTAATAAATATTTGCCTCAATTTGGACTATGATATTATCAAGATTCTTATCCAGGTGAAGTGTACTGTAGGAGAAACAAGGCTTCTTGTAAAAGGAGTGTTGGCTGAACAACTGCTAGTAAAAGGGAGGCAGGAGATCAGAGTGCCATGGCAGTGAATATGGTTCTAGAGAGCAGGGAGACTGCTGTCCTGAACACTGTGAGCTGGGAACGCACCATCGGGCAGAGATAGTGCACAGTGCTTGCAACAGCAACTGCAAGTAATGTGGAAAAACATCTCTGATCTTCGTGACTTGGCCTATGACGGGAGGGTCACACTGCATGCAAAACAAGCCACAAAGGGAGTATAAAAGCATATGCTGAGACACTGATTCAGGATCTGAATACCACAGTCAGATATTGGAGCTGGCGTGGCGGGTGGATTCCCAGAGCAAGAGGTAACTGCTGGGAGAGTGGTTACCTGATCCCAAGAGGGAAGAGGAAAGCCTCTCCTCCTGCTCTGCCACCCATGCAAAGCTAATAAAGCTGTGGATAGAAGTGCCAACATCAGTCACGGTCATTTTCTTCACGAGGTACATCCTAGTTGCCTCATGTTTCAAGATTCAAGGTGTAACTCTGTATTTGGGTATTTGGACTGCGTGAGTTTGCTTCCAATTCCCAGGTAACTCCTGAAGTTACGTGCAGACTGTGCCGTAAGCTGGCAGCTACACCTGTCGCCCGGCACCGCTCTCCCCTCGCACGGGGACAAAGCCTGTGGGCTCAGCGTTGCGGCTCCGGCTGCTGCGGGAGGGCAAACCCTCCGCTCCGGGATGGCGGAGCGGCCGCAGGACTGGCCGCGGGAGCGCCGGGCTGTCCCGTGCCGCCGGGAGCCGCCGGGAGCGCGGGGAAGGAAGGAGCGGCCGCTGCCCCCTGTGCCGCGGCCGCGCAGCGACCGGCCCGGGGCTCCGCACGCTCCGCCTGCCCACCCGTAGTGTCTCCCGGGAGGAGAAATTCCTCCGCTACCGCTCCTCTCTCCGCTCCGGAGACAACTCGAGGGCTGCCCACAGGCACTCTCCCTCCACCTGCCCTCCAGCGGGGCCGGTGCTCCCGGGGCTCCGCAAGGCAGTGCTGCCAGCGGGTCCCCCGCCGCTGCTGGCAGCGCCTAAGCCGCTCGCCCGAGCGCTCTCGGAACGCCCAGAGACAGGGCAGTTCCAAGCCCGCCATCCGAGTCCCTTCGGCATCCGCGCCGAGGGAACGGAGCGACCGCTCTGCCACCGGCACCTCACCAGGACCCTACGGGGACGCCCCCGGCCCCGCCCGGCCCGGCCCGGCCCGGCCCGGCCCGGCCCGCCCCGGCCCGGCCCCGCCCCGCCCCGCCCCGCCGGAAGGGGGCGCCACCGCCCCGCCCCGCGGCCGCGCGGGTCGCGCCCCACTCCCGCCGCCTGTTGTTGTCGGGGCTGCCCGCGGCCGCCGGGGGGCGGGGCCGGGGCGCGGCGACCAATCAGGCGGCGGCGCCGCCGCCGCGTCGGCGGCATTCGCGGCTGGAGCGGAGCGGGAGGGCGTACGCAGCGAGAACGCCGCGCCGGTCCCTGGGCGGGCGGAGCGGGCGCGCGTCGTGAGGCGGATCCTGGCTCCGGGGAGCCGCGGCCAGGACATGGCGGCGGCCGCTCGGCGGCCGCGGCGGCGTGCCTGGGCCCTGCTGTGCCTGGCTGTGGCCGCGCTGCTCTGCCCCGCGGCGGGCGGTGAGTGCGCGGGGGGGGCGCGGGAGCGGAGGGAGGCAGCGGGTGTGGCGGTGGCGCCCGGGGTGGGGTGTTGGGGGTGCGTGAGGAGAGCGGCGGGGGGCGGCGGGTCCCCGCCGGTTCCTTTCAACAACATGGCGGAGGGGCCGGCTGGGGCGGAGTCATCTCCCCCCCACCCCCGGTGTCCGAGCCCGGCGGGGACCGGTCGGCCCTTTGTTGGCCGAGAGCGGCGGCGGCTCCGCTGGAGGGGCGGCGGGGATGGCTCCCTCGGCCCCCGCCGCTATTTCTTCGCCCCCGCTGAGCAGCGCTTCGGGCGGTGTCAGCCCTCGGTAACTTTCTATCCCGAGTCTGCCCGGGTGGGTGCGTGTGGCCTTGGCCCGCGAAGGCAACTTGGATACCTGGAGCTGGTGGACGTCCGCCGTCTGTCTGTCCGCCAGCCCCTGAGAGCCCCCCGGCTCCCGGGCGAGATGTAGCGGCAGGAGCGGCAGCCCCGGGCCGCCGCAGGGCGCTCGCAGCCGTGCCCGGGAGGAGCGGCCGGCGCAGAGACGTGTTGAGTGTCCCACGTCGCGGAGGAGGTGACAAGGGGCTGCCCCCGCTGTGCTGCACGCCGCATCTCCGTGTGCCGCTGGCGCGGTGGTGGCGGGGGGGGGACAGGTGAACTTTTGGTCCAGCACGCCCTTGCCTGTGTGCTCGGCGAGGATCGAGCCGTGTGGAAATTAAATCTTTGGGTGAATATTGACGGCGAAACGGTTGTGTTCCTCCTGTTTCTTGTACCTGTGGTTTTTTGCGTGAGAGATTTGATGTCAGAGCTGTGCTGTTGCAGAGCTAATGCATGAAACATTGGAGTGCTTAACAGTATTCATAAATACAAGATTTGGCTAGTTTTCTTTTTTCGTTTTGGCTTTTTTAAATGTGCAGGTTATTCTGCGGTTAGCAGTTTGGGACATAGGGCCTAATAGACTGTATATTGCTATGGGTTTTAAAGAGGAAGTGGAGAAGCACCACAACTTTTTCAGTTACAGCTTTGAGACATCCCTCAGTCTGGATCTATACCATGCTGTACATAATTCAATCTAAAATGGTACTCATGCTGGGAAAAAAAGTTACTTAAAGCATCACTTGCTGTACTGAGATGTAGTGTTAATCACTCATATTCTTACTGAAGACAGTGCAAGTTCTCTGATGTGGAAACAGTGAAATAAGCTTAAGTTACCCATGGGTTGCTCTTGTGTTCTTGAAAAGGTGCGGCAGGCTTTAATAATTTAAAGCTTTCTTACATAACACATTCAGTTTAGATGTTGAAGGAAAATTTAGCTAAATTTGAGCTTTGAGCTTTGTCCCTTTTACTGCCTCCCATCAATCAACAGTTTTCCCTTAATCTGAGGCATGAAATTAAGGTCTAAAAGCTTTGTGTGAAAACAAGGCAACAGACTTCCATACAAAACCTTATGGGTGGAAGTGATGGCATACTACCTTTTGTTTAAAAAAAAAAAGAGAAATCCTCTATGTCCAATGGAATTGGGAGAAATCCTCTATGTTCAATGGAATTGGGAGAAATCCAGGGTTCCTGATCCATAACTCATCCAGAGACCCTGGTATGGGTTAGGCAGTTAATTTGCCTGAACATTGTGGTCTGAGTTGATAAAGTAATTCAGGGTATGATTTGGCTACTGGTACTTCTTATTGTGGGTTGACAGAAGTTGGGCATTTTCTGATTGCCTCTGCTGGGGCTGTTCTGCAATGTGCTGATGTTACTGTGTGGATGAGTCGACTTGCGAAACAGTTTATACAGAGGTCAGGCATGTAATGAATCCCAGCAGCTAGCTGAACAGTAGAGCAGCCTTAATTTTTAAGAGAGTCTGAAACTAAGCTTTCTGGTTTTCGCTGTGTAGGCCATAGTCTTTAGTCTTTTGAACTTCTGGGAAGTCACCACTTGGAAACTCTTGTATTCAGACAATTGCTTCTAACTGCAAACAAAGATAGCAATCTAATTGATACGGTGGAATAAATTTAAAAGTACAAGTAAAGATCTTTCTGTTTTCATAATGCTTGTGAAATTATTATCTGAGCTTTTAATTTTAGCTTTATCCAGTTAGTTTGGTTGTTTTAAGTGCATTCTTCTACCGAAGAAGAAACAAATTGTTACTGTGTCATGCTCTAAGAGGGATGAACATACCTCTGGGTAGTATTTTGGAGAGAGGACAAGAAAACTAAAAGTGCCATTTGGCACCTACATTTTTACAGGGAATAAAATGCCACTTTTTTGAAGTTGGGATTTTACACAAGGCTCTGTCATTACTTGCGAGTTGTGGGTACTTAATAGTAGTTTGTCTGAGTGCATCACTTTGTTTAACAAGACCTGCTGTTTGCAGGAAGGAAGTTCTGTTTAACAAACGTGGATGAAATCTATGTGAAAGTTTTCCTGAAAACTTGGTACCCAGTGCTGTTACTTTACAGCAGTGAAACTTAATTAGTGCCTCTGTGAGAAAAATGTGTTAGTGAAGGTCATGAACTATTGTGGTTTTGAAAACTGTACCTATGCCTCAGATATTTTAAGAACCAAACCTTTTTGTATCTTGAGCTAAAAGAGTTCGTAGATGAGTCAGGTGTATTGTTTGATAGGATTGTCTGAATTACGGACTCAGAAGCTGACTGTTGCACTGTTATGTATTATGCTTTTTTTCCTTTGGAAAGTTTTATTGGACAGGGAAAGACCAACCAGTGAGCACTACAGCCCTCTTGCTCATATCCCTAAAACTCTGGTTTTGTCTCTTGCACATCATAGCCTTGCTCCTTTATCCCTTGAGCTTCTGCATCTTGTGGAACCAAGAATTGTGATTGCTCCTCTGATGAAGTTCTACTTTCTGGTGAAGTTTTTGCTTCAAAATTTGTATTTTGCATGTAGGAACATTTATAATATCCCAAGAGAAGTGTCTTTTCAGCAAAATGTTGCTTTTGGGTGTTGCAACTATTTGTCTTTTTTTAAATTTGTAAAGCAAAGATATATATTATTAAAGTATTAACTGTGAAATTGTTAAATTTTTGCAATAAGATGTGAGTTTGAGGGGTTTTAGATCACCTCACAAGTTTTAACTTCTGTACTGCTCCATGTTAGCATCTTTTGGAAGGCGATGTGTCAACTTACAATTTCCAACTAGGAATTCTTTGGCTGAAGGTGCTGTTCTGTGCTAAACTGTTTGGTTGAAGTAGTGATGCAGGATGTAAACAAGTGTTGCATAGGGATTCAATGTGTTTTATGTAACTAAAAAAGGTTTTTCTGCAATTTTCTGTCTTCAGAAAGGTGGCAGATACAAAAAAAAGACTATTTCAGTAGGTAACTGTCTGGTTTTGATACAGATTTGTAAAAGTTAAGTGGATAGAGTGTACTTAATTCTCTGTTCACATTTTGTATATAGTATTAATACCTGAGCTCCTGGGAGCCAGCTGATTTTAGGTCTTGTCAAGCTGCATAATTTCAGTGTTTCATTTATGCAGCCAGCTTGCTTTACCCTCACTGGGGGCTTTCCAGACTATAACATTCATGTAAGAGAGACTTGGTAAAGGAAAGGCAAAACTGTCAAACTCAGAGTCTGAGCAACTACACAGGTAATGGTATTCAACACAAGATATTAATCTTGTGGTATGAGATACGAGAAATATGCTGTTGATCACTTGTATGACATGATACTGTCATAATGCACACACCCCCACTTTCAGAAGTGTTGTCTCACTGTTTCTTTTAGGATAGTCAGTCTCAAAAAGCAGACATTACTATGTAGAGTGGTAATGGTGCAGTGACCAAAATGCAATGTACAAAGAACTGCATTGCTGTTGACCCAATTTCTGCTCTTGGCTATGTCCCTGATTGTCTGTATGACTTCCAGTGCATTTGTTTAGCTGTTTGTACTGTCATTTCCCCAACCTTGTATCATTTAAACAAACATGAACTTTCACTAGTTGGTAGTGGAGTTTCATGCTAGTAGTTCCATCCAAAAACTGTTATAATAATTAAAAAAAAAAAGTTCTGTGCCGAGGACAGGCTTGATTAAAAACTTTTTTATGCTCCTTCAGTAGTTGTGAAAGTGCTCTTTGTGGTAGTAGATTTAAACGGTGTTTACCAAGTGCACTGAAATGTGTTTTACCTGAGAGATTACTGGCTCTGGAAGATCAGCTTTCATCAGAGTTCTCAGTTTCTCATCCCTTTCTGTTATCATTCCATACTAGAAATGTATGTATTCATTAAAGTGAGTATGGAGATCTGACTGGTTTCTATCTGAGTTTTTAAAGTTACTGTAAGTTTCTTTGAGAATAACAGAGACTACTTGGATGAAAAGCAAAACATTCTATCTCCAAGAGGACAACGATATGGGATTCTTTTTTCTTTTCTATCAGTTATTAGTGAAAGCGCTTGTTTAGAGGAATTAAATGATTTAACTACAGTTGATCTTTGACTCCTCATGCTGATGTTTAATAACATCTATTATGTGTTCATGTAGTTGTAGTTTGTTCTTTACACACAGATAACTGGAGAATGAGACATGGGCAAGGATATTCCAACTCCTTATTTTTGCCTCCTGGTACGGATTGTTGCTGAAGATGCTGAATTAGTCTAACTTGTACTAAAACGTGGAAGATCTACTGTTACTTGCTCGAGTTGGAAGGCATGAAGAACTGTTAAGTGGCCAGAGTAGGAAGGGGCCTGAAGCATTTTTAACGAGTTGGTTTACTGGGTTTTTTTAAGAGTGTGTCCACTAGAGAGCAGCAAAAACCTGTGTTCCTAGAAGCTTTGCTATTCAGCTGATTAGGCATTGTTTTCCCCTCTTATGGGAGGCGGAGAGTAGCTTCAGCAGGGAGTAGTGATTTATTTATGCCGAGGAAATAATTCCAATGTGTGTGACAGTGGATTGTGTCTTGTCAGGAGACGAGAAGATAGTGACCTCAAACCAGAACAAAAGTGTAAATTTTATCAAATTGCACTAAGTGGGTATTCTATAGCAATAGAGAGGTGGGAACAAAGTGAATGAGGAAGATAGGGCACAAAATGCATTCTTTAGTCATGGCTGGAACAGTGTGTCTCTACAGCTTCACAAGATGAGGAAGATGAGTAAGTGTAACAAGGGCAACCCAAATGTAATTTTTCACTTCAAGTAACTTGGCCTCTGCGCAGTGACTCAGTGTAAAAATGTCTGACCGAATGTATGTCTCTTGCTGTAGGCATTCAGATGCATGTGCTGTTGTGATGAGCGACAATTACTGTTTAAGTAGAAAAAAGTCATGGATTAAGCAAGTGAGATAAAGGTGTGCTCACTTCAAGAGTTGAAAGAAATAGTGTGTGTAAATATTTTAGGAAATTTTTAATGGTTTGGATAGATTGAAAAACATTTGTTCAGGCAAAAATTACCAAAGGGCCAGCAACATGAAAATGTTAAATTTTCTTGTTGTTAAACTGAATAATAAGACTTTCCTTACTTCCCTGATGAGGCAGGGAAAGATGTGCAAAAAGTGGTGCTGTTAAGCTTTACCTTCCTGAATGCTAGTTTTCATTTCATCTGCCTTCTAATTATTTTTTTCAACAGTCTTCATAGTAAAAAAAAAAAAAAAAAAAAATTCTAATCCCATTTGTAGGGTTTTCTTCCTCCCTTTTTCTCACTGGTCTGTGTGCTGGTGAATCTCTCTGAAACAGGGTTATCTTTCTATAGTGGGTCCTAAGAATTTGATCAAATCTCTTCAGTAATAGCAGAAGATGATTGGCAGTGATATGGTTTGATTCAAAATCTTGGGGGAAGGGGATGTTTTAAGAGAATGTAATCTCAAAGTTTGAATCCTGAGAAACATGCATATGTACTTGAGATCCGACTGCCATTTATTTAAATCCATGATAACCAGTGACAGCGAGGCAAAATCTAAGGCAATCCATGTGATTATATTAAACTCTTTAATTTAGATGAAATGCCAGATTTCAGATTTGGGGGACCTTTTGATTGACACCTGTTAATCCTCATTCTTTTGGTGTGAGTTTTTGTATGTAGCCTTGAAAGAGTCTATTTTTATGGCTCAGGACATTTTTGGGGTTTTGATCATAAATGTTGAAGATTTTAAATTTGTCTAAGTTCTCTATTTTAATGTTTCTGTGTGCATGTACACAAGTTCTAGGCCAGCTTTTGCTCTTCAGTGTTGAACAGGTGGACTCAAGATGTATTGATACTTTCATTGTGGCTCCTGCACTATTTTCTGCATGGCTTTGGTGTAAATGCAAGAAGGAGTGCAGAAAGAGCTTAGAAGTAGTAGTCTTCCTTCTCCAAGAACTTCTGCAATGTGAAGAATGAAACCTGATCATCATAGGGTGATTAGCCTGTCATTGCTGCTTCCTTCCCCATGCCCTCTCCTTTACTACTGCAATTGATAGCTTTAGTAAATCACCACCTTCGGTAATGTAAGAGTGTTTTCCTGTGGCTTCATAAATAGCAAATCTAAACCACACTCTGCTTCTGTGAAAGGATCATGCAGGGTTTGGTTTTTAATGAGGATTAAGCTGGTATTTGCCCTTTTGGCACAAAATGGAAACCATCAAGTAATGCATAACATAATAATCCTGGGTGACTGGCAGCATCCCATTTGTCGCTTACTTGAGCTGCACCTGTGGTTACTGTCAAAAAAAAAAGGCATTATTTGTATTTGGTTTGAAAATAGCAGACTTTCATGCAGTGTTGTTTTGAAAGTCTAGAATTTTTGTAGGAGGAACTGTAGTGGTGCTTCTTTACCTGGAGGAACAGCTAGGATTTTAGCCTTTGTCTTTTAATACATTACTATGTAAAGAGAGAGGACTTCAGATCTAAAATTTACTTTCTTCCGCTCATCTCCCAATTTTATTGTCCCACGAAAAGGTCATGTAGCGTTGTTGTTTTTTTAGTGTTGCTCTTCTGCGTTTATGTAACCAAAAGAGCCTCCTAGCACTCTGAATTTGTATCTCTTTAGTCATTTAAATTGCTTCTCAGCTCGGAACATGTACCAATACTAACATTAATGCTTTTTTCTCAATACAGAATTGGAGTGTTACTGCCAGCTATGTACAAAAGACAACTTTACGTGTATGACAGATGGAGTGTGTTTTGCCTCAGTAACACGAACTGCAGACAAAATAATGCGCAACAGTATGTGTATAGCAGAAATTGATCTGATTCCCCGAGACAGGCCTTTTGTTTGCTCACCCTCCACCAGAGATGGAGTCCATACTGTGTCTCATTGCTGTAACACACCTCTCTGCAATAAAGTAGAACTTCCAATTCCAACACCAGGTAGGGGATTTGGGATTTTTGCTCTTTTGTTTGTTTGATTTTTTTTTTTTTTTCATTTTTTCAAACAACATTCTGTAAGAGTGGAAGTGTAGGTAAATTTGAAGGCCTAAAGTACACCTTAGATTCTGTAAAGACAATTTCATGATATTTGAACAAGAGTTATCTTCTGGATATGGATGTTAGGGACAGTTTTGAAGACTTAAATAAAGTGTAAATAAGCACATTGCTTTTGTCCTTTTTAGTGCTTTGATTCTGAAAAAAGTTACTGTGCAAAAGCTTTAACAAATGCATTGAAATAATTTGAGTATTGCTGTGGGATACTATAAGTTTAGTAGAAAAAACGAAAATTAATCGGTTTTATCATTTTCTTTTATTTTCACTTTCAGGCCCTACTCCAGAAAAACCAGCTTCTAACCTAGGACCTGTGGAACTGGCTGCTGTCATTGCTGGACCAGTCTGTTTTGTCTGCATTTCGCTGATGTTGATTCTATACCTTTGTCATAATCGTAGTGTAATTCATCATCGTGTGCCAAGTGAAGAAGACCCTTCATTGGATCGTCCCTTTATATCAGAAGGAACCACTTTAAAGGATTTAATTTATGATATGACAACTTCAGGTTCTGGGTCAGGTAATGGGACACTTCTAGTAGTAATTACTTTGTGCTTAAGAGCCTTGTAAGACATCTAGTTTTTTTAATATTGTCAAATATACTTAAACTTCTAATTAACTGGTGAAAATACTAGAAAAGCAATTTCCTGTACATTCAGTCAACATCAGTGAAGATTCAATGTATGGAAATAAGTGAAGAAAAAGAAACACTGAATTGTTACTGCCCTTCCTTATTCTCAAAGTAGGCTGATTTATATAAATTATATAATTCAGGAAATATCACAGTCATCTATCGTAAATGTTTTGTGTTCTGTAAGGCTGTCACTTACCTTTTTTGTTCTGTACAGCCTATCTACACAACCATTTTCTGTGGTTTTTAGATAATTTTGTGAAGGGTATTTTTTAGCTTTCAATTGAAAACAAGAAATTGTAGCTATTGGTGTATGAAGAATATTGTGAGTTAATATTTTAGCCAGTTCTTCCCTTACAGAAGATATTTTTCAGTTGCAAATAGCATTTCTGTGTGTAGAATGGATGCAGTATGCCGATCATGTCTGATGAATGTCTGTCCCTTTATTTTGCGGTTTTTTGTTTTAATTCTGACTTGAAGAGGTGTTGCTCTGGGAAGATGAAGCATTACTCTGTTCACTGCATAGAGTTTCAGCTATTGTAACTGACCATTAATTGCTTATAGGATTATGGTGGTCTCTGAAATAAAAATGTAGTTTAATAGGTGTTAGGGGATGATATGCCGGGTAAATCATTGCATAAATTAATGGATCTTTGGTCTATGTTAGGGAGAGAGACATCAGTTTGTGTACTGCAACCTTTTACCAACCTTCTACTATATAAAATTTAAGTAACTTAATACTGAAAATATTTCCTACTACTTTCAAACCTGTGTGTTGAAACAATGATGCCCTTTCAGAACACTTTCTACAAAGAAAGACTCTGATTCTCAATTGCTGCATCCTTTTTTTTGTTTCCTCAGAACTGGAAAAAAATTAAACAACAAAACCCAGCTATCTAGGTTGTTTTTCTTTTCCAAGGACAGTAACTGGTAAAACTGTTTAGAGTCCGTTGCTTTGTCAAATAAAATTATTGTAACTTCCTGAACATGTTTAAAATCTAGATCAAAAGTTCATTTTAGTCATATCTTTTCTAAAGAAGGTGAGTTTGCACTAGATGTGTAGGTCATTGTTTCAGCTGAGAAAGCTTTTGTGTGTTCAATAAGATTTGATCCTGGTAAGGGTAAGTTGTTTTCTGGTTAGAACTGGAGTTTTAGTAATTTGTGTTCATATCAGTTTTCTCATTTACTTGCAGAAGTAGCTAAGTCAGATAATGACAGTGGTTAGTAGAACTTCCAATGTATTGGGCTAGAGCTTGATAAACGCAAGTGCTGGACTGAGGTCTCCAGTTTTGTTTGTTCTAGGAAGGATAGACAGTAGTCAGGGATAGAGATAATATCTAGGAGTCAGAGATTTACATATCATGGAATCCAGGAAAATGTGATATATGTAATTGTTACACTATTAGAAGTGTGACACTCGTACTTAATGTCTGCAGATCTAGACTTTTCCTAAGGAAGGCTGAAAACAATTTCTAATTAAAATTCAAACTTAGTTGTTAATTGGTCTTTTCATTCATTATCAGGAATAATCCTCTGTTTTTTCTTCTGGCCTTCTTACCTGTGGTGATTCTGAACCTCTCTTTTTGTTTGAGAACTCTGGAAGTACTCCTTCAGAATAAGCTCTTGAAAAGCAGAGACTCCAAGTTAGAAGAAACTTATGATTATTCCTCTGGAGCACATGGCTAGAAACTACTGACCCTTCCCTTGCCTATGTGCAAATTACTTTTTAAGTAAAAGGAGCATGCTAGGGAATTGCTAAGCTTTCACAGCTGAATCCAGGGCACTCAGGCTGGTGTAGACTCCCAGAGCATCTGACCTACTATGGTATTTGAGCATTGGCTACTGGTGAGTGCATCCAAGGAGCAAAACCAGCAAATGTGGTTGAATTTGACTTATCCCTAAGGGAACCTCTTCACTAATTTGCTTTTATGCTTGAAAGGCTGTAAAACAAGGCTGAATGTTTCCTTAAAAGCAATCTTTTAACTTCAGCTGCAGTGAGTTCCATGTTGTTGAGCTGTTTGTAAAACCAGAATTAGCCTTATTTAGTGTTCTCTAGTTTGCTTTGATTATGGCAGTGAAATAGGAGATGGTTCAGCTACTTACTTTCTGTACTGTTTGTTGACATTGTGTGTATTTGCAATGACTTGTGTCACTTTGTCTCAGAATTAGTCAATCAATGACTATACATATTCATGGTGCCTTAGTACTTGAATTGATAACTTTTGTGTCCCCTGAAGTATGCCTACAGCATTTGAATCTCATTTAAATGTGTATTTTTATCCAGACTTTGGGTATAGCACATTTAAAGTTGAGAAGACTGTACATTTATGGAATAAACTGGAGGTAGAGAAAAGGGTCTCCAAAGGGAGAAGAGTTAGAGCTGCTGGTTAAAACAGTGCTTAGCCCTGTCAGAAACTGAACTGTCTGAAAGGGATGGTGTTGGGACAAGAGATTGCCAAAACACAATGGAAGTGTACAAAACAGGCAAAATAATCCAGACCCAAGAGGCACAGCTAAGAACGTGTTTTGTTTGGTGACGCAAAAGCCACATTCTACTCTTAAATTCATGCTGAGAGACCAGAAGAGCTCATAGTAAAATAAAAAGGATTCTACCAATTTTGTTAATTCAGTATTCTCTGATGAGAAGTGTATAAAAGAGAGAAATAATCAGAGCTCTAAAAATGAGCTTCCTATTCAGACCAAAAGGGAGGAGGATTCATTTGTTGCAATGATGAATAGTAAGCTGCTATTAATTATTTGGTCTTGACTTAACATTAGTGTTGCCATGCTGTTCCATGATGAACAAGACCTGAAATAAGGAGATACTCCATGAAAGGCATTAATGAAACATCTAAAATAGACCATTCTGGCAAAGCTACAGCTTCTAAGAGAAGGATTTCAAAGCCTCTTGGAGCTGAGAATGATTTTCAGATCATGATGCAGATCTCTAAATATCAACTACATATTGTAATGACAGATGGGGATGCCCATCTGTTACTGTCTTAACTTCCAAATGACGAAGTCACTTAGTTACAAGGGAGTAGGAAGAATTACCTACAACAAGGAGAAGCTTTGGATAGTATTGGTAGGCAACTTCCAGCAGGAACTTAAGCTATTTAGAAATCTAAAGGGTCACAGAAATCAATGCAAAGTTGAGTCAGCTGAAGTGACTATAAAGCTCCTTAAAAACTATTTTGCAATTCATAAACTTGTAGGGAATAAGATTTTCACAGTTCATGGAATGTTGTTTTTTTTATTACTCATCAGAGGAAGTCTTACGCGTGGAGACTTACGAACAAGAACAAAATTCTAGCTGCTACTTTTGTTGGCTTCCTGCCGTGCTCTAGAACTTACTTCCTGAATTATCCAATTCAGTTACAAACTCCTTATGCATTAGAAAGTCACTAAACTAATCAGAGTACACTTAATATATGAAAAAGAAAACTAACTTTCTTTTTTTGTCAGATTTCCAGAAGGATTGAGGATACTGTATGATATAAGAAAATTATGATGAAGGTTTCAGGAATAAGTCAGGTGACCATGGTGTCAAGGATGACCTAAATTCAAGGTGTCAGACACTGAGCTGCTGTTTAATTTAATATGGGCTCAAATTTTCTTGTTCTTCTGATTGGCAAACTGGCTATCATCTTTCTTCATACACAGTTAAAAGGAGGTGTATCTGAGAGCATGGAGTACAGTTGTGCCCAATGTGTATGTGAAAGGCTGAGGCTGTAGCTGTCTCCTGTGAGATACTTTTCAGGCAGTCTGGTTCACAGCACAGCAGTTGCTCAAGGTCCTGGTGATACAGACTTGTGTGTCTTCTGTAGCAAAATGAGGGAATTGCTCAGTTCCAACAGAAAGTCTGTAATGAATTGCTATGAATGCAAGGTAAATATGGATTCCAGTCTTCTAGAAGAAGCAGTAGTAAGGGAAAGATTAGTTTCAGATATACAGAAGCAAGTTGGATCTTGTAAATATTGTAAAAATAAATATAGGAGTAAGTGGATAGATCACAGTAAGGTTTTTATCCTAGAGTGACATGTTGATTTGCTGAATGGGAGTTTGTAATGTGAAATTGAAATGCATTCTGTCTAGAAGGTTTAGAGGTTAGTATATGTTTAGCTGATATCCTTGGACGTATATGTTAAATAAGGAGAGATGTCTATAATAGGTGCAGCAAGTCGAGAGCAGTGCATCTGAAAGTGGGAATATACAGACAGTTTTCTGATACAACTCTATGGCCTATCACCCATTTCAGGTGCACAGAATCAGCTTGTACTTGACATATGCTTATAGATTTTGCAGCAGTGCATAAATTTTAAGGAAGAAGCCTTCTCTGGCCAATCAAGTAAAATTTCACATTATCACGGTTCAGTTTGGTCCTGTGTTGTTTTTGTCTGGTCTCTTCTGCATTTCAAAAGTCTCTCCATAAGGAATGAAGGTTAGGCTTCTCAGAAGAGCCTCTATAGTTTGGGCATGCAGCACAATTCATCTGAGGACTATTACAGCAAAAGTTTTAACTTGCTCAATAGACATTATTACAACACCTGACAATGATTAAATTGCTGGTATAGTGTACATTTTTTTTCCTTCCTGTCTTCGTGTAGGTATGTTGTCAGCATAGACCATGCAGAGAATTCCTGTAGGTCTAGAATTTTTGAGGAGCTGTTCTGAACACTCAGTGTTTTAATTTGCCCTTCTCAGACTGAGACACAAGTGTGGCAATGCTTCCAACTAGATCAGATGTTCTTCTAGTGCCGCTGTTAGCAAAGACTGTCCGAAGGTGGACAAAAGTTAATTATCTGAGCTATTAGTTGGGATTTGTTTTCTATAACATAAGGAAATGCAGGTGTTCTGTCAGATATTGGAACAGTGATTATGGAATAACAGATTACTTTGTAAAGTGTTTGGTTAAAGTGAAATAATCCTATACCAAAAGAGCTTATCATAAGCAGATAACCTGGCTGATGTTTTCATCCTGCAGTGTGGTATCAGTGTGGAATCCAGTGACAAGCCCTGCAGTTACAACAGGAAAGATTTAAAATAAACAAAAAGCCAGCCTGGTTGAGGGATGCCAGTGCTGCTTGTTGTATAAAATTACTGAAGTGTACTGAAGAGGTAATCTGTGTTGAAAGCATGTAAATGTTCCAAAGCTATAAGACCTTGATGAATGTAAACATTTTTCTCAATTATAATTACAGTGAGATGCACAAGAATGGCCTGTAAAGCGGAAAGCTTGCATTACAAGGATGTTTTCCTATTTTACAGTGACTCGGGATTACTAAGATGCTATTGGCACACCAAAATCCAAATGGGTGTGGATTTTCAGCAGTCGGTGTTGCTGATAAGTGTGATTTAACTAACTTAGAAATGGACTATCTAGTGATAAGCCAAGTAAATTAACCTGTAGCAAAAGTGCCAGGAGAGTTGTGGGCAGATCCTTTTTCCAAAAATAAAGAAAAAACTCACTTTCATCACTAACAAGCAACCCAAAAGAAAACCCTAAACCTGGTCCTGACTGCCTCATCATTGCTTCTTTTTAGCATTTAAATAAAACATTATGGCTCAGCAAGTGACAGCATTCCTAACTGAAAGGAAGTTTGTGTTGTGCTTTTGACCACCATAATAGTTTGTAGCATAATCTCCATGAGTACTTACTTGTTAGCTGGCCTTTTAAGGGTGAAGGCAGAAACTTAACTATGTGCTTGCTAGCAGTCCTCAACAAGCAGTTAGAATGAACATACTCTCTAAGATTTTAAGAGAAATGCCGTAATAGAAATAAGATCTCATATTCAGTGTGTGGGATAAATACTAATTCTGTAGAGTCATATTTAAAGCAAATGTAAAATCTTCTTTTTAGGTTTACCTTTACTTGTGCAAAGAACAATTGCAAGAACTATAGTACTTCAAGAAAGCATTGGTAAGGGTCGCTTTGGAGAAGTCTGGCGGGGGAAGTGGAGAGGAGAAGAAGTTGCTGTGAAGATCTTCTCTTCAAGAGAGGAACGGTCGTGGTTTCGAGAAGCAGAAATTTATCAGACAGTTATGCTACGCCATGAAAACATTCTTGGATTTATAGCTGCAGACAACAAAGGTTGGTGACGCTATGAATTTGTTTTGCTGATTCTGCATCTGGTCAGAATAGGCAGTGCATGAAGGAAAAAAATGTGAGAATCCATGTAACAGTAGCAAAAAATAGTTTTGTTACTGCAGGAGTTCAGGCTTTGGCACATTTTTCATAGGTTTAATGAAGGAAAAAGTACATTGTCTCTTTTTTTGGAAGAATGTGCTTTGTTTAAATTTGTTTAAAATGCTTTGGTATCAAAAAGGAGATGCGTATCATGTGAGCCCACACATCTGCTGAATACTTGTACCTGTCATTACCTCATAGCCTAATAATATAGATGTGTGGGACTGAAAGAGATCATCTCTCATCCTGTTGTCCTCATATAAAGTAGGAGGTAGAAGATTTATTCTTAAGGCTGAGTTATGAGATGTTATTCGTTTAGAAGTCCAATTAGAAAATCAATTGTAAAAATGGAATTATTTGTTTCTAGTAGTAAAAAATTATACCTGCTTCCTGAAGCTCTCCTGATGAGCCTTTAATCATCCAGTTAGAGGAACCATTTTTTCAACTTTGATTTGCTGTGATTTTTGGACAGATTAAAGTTTCTTGGATTTTCTTGCAATTCCAGTAAAGTGCCAAGAGTCTGACAAAACCTAGTTTTGGGTTTCTTCCATTAAGGGGAGCTAAGATATTAAGATGCAGTTTCATTCTGTTATTTTCATCTGAAATTGCATGTTTCACCATAAATGGCATTTGACTTCTTTGTGGAGAAAGCATTAACAGAAAATTCTGTCACATTAGAGAGGAGTCAATAACTCACACACATCCTGGATTTTTAAAAGGCTTTCAGTTTTGTGGGAAATTCCTAAGTGGTTTCAGTGAGGGTCAAGTATATGTGAAAGTTCTTTTTAATTACCATTAGATGAATTTCAAGTTTCTATATAAATCTGTAGAATAGGAAAAGAATCCAAGAGATTGTGCAGAGCCCTTCTCCAGGAAAGGGTTATGTAAGTTAACTTGCTCCTGACAGATGTTTGTGCAACTTCTTATCCTTCAAGAGCTTGCAGATCAACACAATACCAGGCAACTTTTTCCTGCAGCTTACTGTGCTTACCAATAGAAACTGTCTTATTTTCATGCCTAGAATTGTATTTGGTAATACCAGCACCTGTGAGAGCTGGAGCTTGCTCTGATTGGCCTAGGGGAGTGAGTATCTGGAGCCTGGGTTTAAAATTAGATCAGCTGCATTAAAGCTATAAATGAAGAGCTATCTCTGCAGAAGCTTTAGCTTCTATTTCTCATTTAAAAGCATAAAGGGTATATTGCAATATCTTGGATGTAACTTTTCACAAAATCCTCTGTAAGTATACCAGTGTCTCATTTTGCCTGAAACCTCCAGATAGTTTGTCCCAAAAATACATTTGACTGCTGTAAAGAGGAGGTATGAGAAAGGTTTCCTAAATGGGTGGGTTTTTAAGATAATTTCTTGCTTGCTGGTTTGTGTTTCAGATGCTATAGCATTTGATTTGGTCATCTTTAGTTTTCTTGTAATATAATATAATGTGATATGAAATTTTTTTCTGTTAATATGCTTTATGTACAAAGAAGAAATCCTTAACTGATAGGTCATGGCACTATTTGAGGTTTTGGGTCTTCAGAGTAAGGCTCTTGTTCTTTAAAGAGAACTAGTTGGTGTCTGGTTTTTAAAAGTAGATAAAAATGTGTTTTGAAAATGCCACTATTCTTGACTGTTTTCTAACAGTATTGCTGTCTGAGCAGAAATCTGTGTTGTTGTTTTTCACCCATCAGTGCAGAACTAATTCATAGTATAACCATCTATATTCTCTCAGTGAGGAAATAATTCACACACAATTTACTCCCTGGACTAAGAATTCAGTCCTGAATATTGAAGGAGGTTAAAACTTCAATTCTTGTTTGGAATACTTCAGGCCGCCTGTATCCCATTAAATGAGAGAACATAGAGTGACCATTATGGGAGTAGTTCTCCCAGTTTAGCAGGTGCACCATCATGGTACTCCAAAAGGAGAAGATGTATCGCAGCATGGCTGTAGAGAACAATGGCTTAAGAACACCAAGTGTTCCAGTGGTTTAAGGAACAGTCCTCCATTGTAGATGCTGGTGCTAACTGAAGAATGTTCATGTGATGCCAGGTGCAAGATTATGTATTCATTCACAGCAGCAATGTCTGCAGAGGGTTGGCATCCATTTCTCTGTAGGGCTGACTTTTGAATGTATTCAGAAGTTACTGCAGTCTGGCTGGAATGCACAAAGTCATTAGACTGCAAGAATCTGTGTGTCTGAGGTACTGCAAAGATACAGTAGAGTATACTGCTGAGATACAGGAGTACTAGTAATTTTAAAATTAGCAAAGGACTAGTAAAAGAGCTAGTAGAACCAAGGCATGCTTCAGTTCTTGCTGCTGCTGAAGGCATTAATAAGGTCTTTCCTCTTACCTCAACTGTGGTTTTTCACAACTGCTGAGGAACATCTGGCTGTCTATTTAGTGTAAAATTGGTGGAAGGGGTTCCTTTGGGTAGGAGGGTGTGTTTGGATTAGAGCTTGTGACTGAACTGCTGTTTTCACTCCTTTTTCTACTACACTCTTTAGACTGTCCATATGCCTTAATGGCATATTCTTCTTTTCTGCTTCCCCAGACCTGTGTCATGTTCAGAAGGCTACAGGAGCTGGTCCAATCTGTCTGCTTCCCATCCTGTAATCCACTAGGAAATGGGTGCTACAGTTAAGGCAGCTTGAGGGCTGAGAAGCAATGAATGATTTTAATTGCAGTTGTGGTCTGCCTGACAACTTCTGTGTTCTGGGTAGCTCTTTGTATAGCAAGTGTGTGCTAACTTCCAAATTCTGCTGCGTCAGGGAAGTTACTTTCAGGGCCATGTGTTGTCTTGTTTTGTGCCATCTAAACGCACAGTTTTTGTGCATGGTTTTTTGTATTGTTCTTTCTAACCCAGTTACTTCAAGGTAAAGTGTGTCAGGGACTACTTAACTGTACTATTCTAGTAACAAAAGAGTAGTGTCAGCAACCATAGTTCACAGTACTAAAGGTTTCTCTGCATTAGCTGGCTGTAAGCTTAACTGGCTTTAGCCTGAGTAGAGGGAATCTGCACAGCTCAAGTGCTTTTCATCATTGAGTCAGATGACTGTGTCAACATGATAGAGTCAAGCTGTTATGCTAACAAGACACCAGTCATGCTCTAGTCACTGACAAAAGTGCTATCTCCCTGAATATCTCCTTTCTAAGAGATTTCTAGTGGGAGATCTTATCTGAATCTGATTTTTTTCAGAGCTTTTTCCTGTTTTTTTTTCCTAATATTACATTATCAGTGTGCCAAAAAAGGCTAAATATCTGCTTTGAAACACTTTGCTACATAACACCACAGAAAACATTTTTGTTTCGCTAGTGTTGATGTGGAAAAACAAAACATTTTTCACTTAGGTGATTCCAATCAATTGATTTTAATTGAAACTTGATATTGTAGGGCACAAATATTAATTCAAACAATTCAACAAATATTAATTCAAACAATTATATATTTGATATAGCAATTGTATAAATTCCTTTCTTCATGAGTCAGCTCTACTAAGATGGATTTTGCTTGAACATTAGTAGTGTTTTCCCCGAACTGTAATCAGTCTCCTGACAACAAATCTGAAAGCTTCTTTTCTCAGAATTTCGATGTTTATTTGGAGTTTAAAATTAAAATCTTTTAGTTCTGAGTGTCCTTGGTGGTATAAAATACTTTCAGGTGTCCTGAAATAGCTGAAATAACCATAATAAATCTCTTAAATATGTTTCAAATAACACATCTGATTTTTTTTGTTAATTTTGAATATTCTGAAATTATTTGAGATTCTTGATCATTGTGAGTTCATAAAATAAATTAGATTGCCTAATCATGGAAAGCTGGGCTACTGTATGTAATTACTATTGAGTGTAATTACTTTTTCCTACCAGATAATGCAAATCCTGTGATTGAAAGCTTTATGGCAGATGCTGTTTACTGTGCAGCTAAAAATACTCAGCTATTTTACAGGTCAGGTTAATTATTACTTGGTAATAATCAACTACTGTCAACAGAATAAGAAGACTTAAGTTTATTGTAACATGTTCTACTTAGAGTGCTAAACAAATGTATGGCTTGTCAAATATGGCAAGGCAAACATAGTAGGTCCCTTCTGATAGCTGGACACTGGACCTATTGCTGCATTTCAGCTTGCCTGTAATTATTTATATAATTGATTTTGATGTAACACTGTCCCTTGTTAAAATCTGGTTGAAGGGTCACAAATATGGCACATAATAGGAAAGAGTCATGGTTCTTCTCAGAGTGGATGGTAAGCCCAGTTTATATTCCTTCTTTGGAAGGAAGTTAGAGCTTGAATATTAAAACTTGCAGGTAATACACAAGATAAAGCTGAACAGAAGAGTCTGTAACCAGCAGCATATTCCCCTTTTAGGAGGAAATGTAGTGTTGAGAGGGGAGGAACTTTATGCAAAGGCACCATAGTCTTGAATCAAAGCTGTGATAATTCTTCAGAAACTGACATCTTTCATAGAGGTTTTTAAAGACAATAGGTCTGGTAGACTAATTAAAATTAGTTTTGTTTCCTTCCATACAGCTAGGTGTCAAGTACAGACACTTGCTGAGGTATCCCAACCCTAAGAAACAGGAGAAGAAATAAAATACAGGACTAAGTAATGAATGTGTATGATGTTAATGCCCAGGAGAGGATTATTTCAGGCAGTGTAGTATCATAACTAATGAAGCAGTAGAATAAAACTGAGTGAAGAAAATATTCTCACGTGATAAGGTTAGTTTACTTGGAACTTCTGCAGCTCTTTGTATATTTAAGAGCATCTTTTCTGTGCCTGTGAACTCCTACCTGTTTCTAGTGATTCTGTAAGACTGTTTAGTGAAACCAATACTCTTGGATTGATTCTTCAGAGACCATAATTCTCTTAGGAAAAAGTCACATTTAATACTGGGCTGAGTTCTATGAGTTTGTGCTTGGATATTGCCAAGTAGCAAGACATGCAGCAGTTCTAACTGAAAAATAACTTAAGATTATTTTTTTAAAATCTTTAATATCTGTGTTCCTTTTTAAAAAACAGCACTTAGGCATCCCAAAAGACTCTTCCTGCAGCAGTAGTGCATTTTACCAGTCTTGTACATGTAGCAAGCCAGCGTTTTCTTTCCATTATGGGAATTGTTTGAATGTATTTTTCCTACCCTGAAGTATTTGGAGTCTTTTTAATTTTGGTAGATTTTTTTATTTTTATCTTTTATTTTTAGATCTTTTAAATGTCATCACTGACTTCCCTAAAAGCATCTAAATAAAAGGGATGTTTGCAAGTTTTCCCACCCCCACCAAAGAGTTAAGTTAAAGATAAGCACAAGTGTTTCTATAAAGGTGGTTTCTTTCAATCTTTAGAGCAAGCATTTTGTACTTCTGGCTTTTGTAGACAAGAGTGTTCTTTGGTAAGTAAATTTTTTTCAGTATGTTTGCAATAGGAAGTAAGTTCTGAACTTCTTTCCTTTTTTTCATGTTCTTCATATTCTTGAGCAATCTTTAGGGACTCTCACATAATAAGACATCTTTTTGATTTGTGCTGAGTGTTCTCACTTGTTCTGAGAGAATAAGGGCTATATAATTCAGACTAGAAGTCCAACAGATGTCTTTTATGGGATAACTGCTCTTCTAAAGAGATAAAAAATTCTTCTGTAAAACTAGCTGGCTATAAAAACATTTTTCAAGTCTGCCACAGGAGAGGTGCTTTTATAACACAACAAAACTGGGAAACCTATTCAGTGGCAGGATTGTTCTTTCCTATTTCTACTTCTTAGGTAAAAAATACTTTTCCTCCCATCTTGATTTGAATTCCTTTGACAGTCTTCTTTCTGTGGCTTAAACTTAAAGGTATTTTGTGTCACTGCTTTAATAATGTGAACAATTAAGTTCTTATATGTCATTTGTATGCCTTGGGATAGTTACAAATGTATTGTGGCACATCTTGTTTGTCATAGTTCAATCAAAAATCAAAGCAAACTGATTTCCTCTGTGTTTTTTGCTTTCTTTACTTGTGTGTCTCCTGGAAACCTCAATTTTGGCCAGTAATTTAGAGGTCATCGGAGGTGGGATTTAACTTTGTGTCTGATTGCTGCTTGTAAGCTTCTACTCTTCTACTCTAGGAGGAAAAACATTTCACTGTGGGAATTGTCTCCTGATAGGAGACTGATAGGTTATGGGAAGAGTGAAGGAATCAGGGAGCAAAGTTTGAAACACTTTTTTTTTTTTTTTTTTTTTGTGATTAGCTGGACAATATTGTGCTAGACTGATAGTGATGGGATTAGTTTTGGATCATGCATTCAGCACTGTTCCCTGTGCCCCACTCTAGTTGGAAACCTAGGGAAAGGCAAGGCCTGGCTAATACCCTGAACAGTTCACCCTGAATATACACCTCAGAATTATAGTGTCACCCGTTTTCTATGGTTTGTGTTTTAATTTAAATACAAGAATACTCACTAAGCTTTTCAGAAACTCTCCCATGGTGTTACCAACCTTTGCAGAGGCATTAAAATGTTACAGGAATAGAAGAGCCTGAGACTAATAGTAAGAGTCTAATTTATAGAGGTTACTTGCAGACCATAATTTGTACTTCATAAGTGTTGTATAGAAGTAGAATATATTGTTTATTTGTCATATATGTGTATGTATGTGTAGTATTCATGCCAGTTTTATTTTGCAGACAATGGTACATGGACTCAGCTGTGGTTAGTGTCAGACTATCACGAGCATGGATCACTCTTTGATTACCTGAACAGGTATACAGTAACAGTGGAAGGAATGATAAAATTAGCTTTGTCCACTGCCAGTGGTCTTGCTCATCTACACATGGAAATTGTTGGCACACAAGGTAATCTTACAATTATTCTGCTTATCATGTGGATATTACTGGTTGGTTTTTTGGGTTTTTTTAAATGACACATAAGTACCTCGTTCTACTCTGTGATGATTTCCAAATTCACAGAACTTCTTAATTTGAAAGGCTTTTTGCCTTCTTTTCTCTGGTATTGTGATGTAACAATCCTTCGTACAAAATACCTGTTAAAAGGCACCAAGAAATGGTGCATGTAGCATCTTCTTAACTTTGAGTTGAGATAATGTTTGAGTAGGATGTGTGTGCAATAAATACTTGCAGGAAGAGGGAAAGGAGCAAGTGGGGTGTACAGTAAACATGAAAGGCACTTTCCTGAACACCCAGACAATCTACAGTAAATGATTTCAGGAGGTATCCTGATGCACATAAAGTGTCAGAACTGGAAGGAATTCTGTTCCTTCAAACAGAAGCTTGCACCAGGCTCAGAATAAAAGGAGGTTGGTTTGGAATTTTTTTACAAATTCTCTTTTTTTTTCCTTTACAGGCAAACCAGCAATTGCCCACAGAGATTTAAAATCAAAAAACATATTGGTGAAAAAGAATGGAACATGCTGCATTGCAGATCTAGGATTAGCGGTTAGGCATGATTCAGCTACAGACACAATTGACATCGCCCCAAACCACAGAGTGGGAACAAAAAGGTAAAATCATTTATGTGATGTATCTGGCAACATTTATGATAAAATGCTTTGGTTTTTCTTGTCCCATACAAATTTGTGTTGATAGAAATATAAATAGCAGGAAAATGTAATGGCAGATAGAGTTCTTAGGCACTTCCTTGTCAGCTGATATTTCAGTTAGATGGTAGGCGCTTAAAAGGCACGTTCAATGTTGGCTTGTGTAAAATACTGAAAACTTGGTAAGTGTTGTAGGGCACAAATATTAACTCAAACAATTAAGAGATTTCATGACTGATGGTTTTAGAGACTTCAGTGCTCTCTTTCTTCTTCTTGCCGTGTATTGCATGGAAATCAGGAGTGTAAAACAGGATATTGGTAGTGACAGTAAAAAGCTGTGGTTGTCAGTGTGAAGCCTTGTGTGGAAGAACATACAAGGTGCAGAGTCTTGGACACAGGGCTGTCTTGAAATCACATTTTTTAAGGAAATGCAAGAAGTTAAAACAGTCATCTTTGTCATTTAATGCATAAATAGAATCTTAAGTGGATGAGTCAATATAGTCTGTCTTAAAAGCTTTTTCTGAATTTGGAAATAGAGATTTTTCTTCCCCTAGAAGAATTCAGAGCTGTTTAACTGAGTCAGCACAAGTGCAATAAAACTTGCTGTGAGTAATTTATCATTGGTGAACCTTCAGGCAGTAATAACTGGAAGCTATAAATAAATTTCCCTTAGTAATCCGTGTAGCTATACGGCATACAGACGTAGCAGCGCTAACAGTGAACCACAGCAAGCATTTTGGATGTGGGCAGCTTTTCATTCTTCTAATGCCTAGAGGTTCAGTGCTGTGTCAAACTGGAGTTTGACACAGCACTGAATGTGTGACAGCTAAGCAAGCCCATATGGCTTAGCAGTGTTTGAAAAAATTGTGTTGATGTTGTCCAATCTCCAGTTTATATATCACAACCACTTTTTTTTCTATATCCCTTTAGTAAGCGATACTGCGAGGTGGGAGGTTGATTGAGGTTTTTACAGTGACCTGGGATGCCCCTTGAGCTATGTCTTTGTGGAAGGGAAAAAACCCTTAAACATTATTTGAAGGCTCAGTTAACTAAAGCTTTTAGAATATGTACTGAAAATTTATTTTACTGATGTGTACACCGTGACGTTACTTTGTTCTAAAGCTCTGCTATACTAGTCCTTTGCCAATTTTAAAAATACCACACAAATGGTCAGGCAAGATTTATTTTCTGAACTACTTCTAAATTATAAGGAACTGAGTATTATTCTTTCTCAAAGTGTCCAGTAGTGGGCTTTTTTCAGAATTCATCATTACAAATTTAGCTGTATGCAGGGCACAGGCCACGTGTGATTTTTGAATTTTCTACTACACCTACATGCAAAGGAAAATGACGTACAAATCAGTTACTTTCTTTAGTCTTGGCACTGGAGAAAGCATCCTTTCAGCTGTGTTTGCAGTTCCCACTTACCGGATCTTTTCTTGCATAGGCATTATTAAATTGCTTGTTCATCTGTCTTATGCTTCTTCACAAGGGAAAGCTGTAGGAACTCTTGCTTGCTGCAGTGGGCAGCAGAACTAAATCTGTTTCCCCTTTTAAAGACATTAGTCATTTCTACCTCTCTGAAAATTACTCATTCTTGTAAAAGACTTAGACCCTTCTTCTTCCTCTTGTGCGTTCTTAGGTAAGTAACTGCACCTCTGATTAATTTTTCATAATACAGTTCAAGTCTTACCTGTTCAGTGACAGTTGTAACTCCTACTGATTGCCACTGCTGGTACCTCTTCTGCACATGGAAGCTTTGTGTACAAGTTCAGGGAGATTTGGTGAAGTCTGTTTTTCTAATGATTGTTGTAAAAATGTATGTCTAGGGAGCAAGCAGACTTACTCTTGTGTGAGTGATCAGGGTGTTGAGTCAAACTGATGATCCCTCTTTCTGACTGAATTCTCTGACTTTATTTCTTTTCTGTTCAGAGGCTTAGCTTTACCAGAGGGGTGAACTGTGTGCTTTCACAGCTCAGCCTGCAACATAAAGCAGGGAATGTGAGCTTTAAACTGAGAAGGAAATAGAATCTCTCTCTCACTCCCTGAGGCAAGTAAAAAACCCTTATTCTCCTCCTATTTTTTTAGAAGTGTGGCCCAGCTGTTACTTTTGATAGTTCAGATATGTTGTGTTTTAAAAGAAGTTTGGCAGCAAATTCTTACCATGTGGGCTTCTTAGAAGTTTACCTAAACAAAATATGGGCAGAATTCTACCTTGTAGAGTATAGGATTGATGAAAGGAGATGCCACATGACATTTTGTGTATGGGTCTAGTTGATGACACAAAGCTCCCTATATGTTGTACAAGAAATTCAGACAACTAGTACTGGGCTTTTGGACTAAAAGAGATGGGAGAAAGAGGTCAGCAGGCACCCTAAGTTTGTCAAGACCATGCTCAACACACTTCATACCCTTCTTTGTAGACTTATCATTTTGTTCTTGGATGATATTGAGCTGCAGACCTTGCTCAGAAGGTCAGTTACTCTATGAAACAGAGTTGCTCTCTCCAGAACCTGAAATACCACTTCTGCCAGGCAATGCATTTCCAACACATAATCTGACAAGGAAATGCCTACTTCTCTCCCTTTTGTGTAACAGCCATGAAATGGCTGAGCTGCTGACCTCACTGCACAACCTCCTTGCCTTTCGCGTCTCTTGTTCCAGCAGTAATCTCTCAGCAGTCATTCACCATTCTGTGTCATGGAAGCCAAAGCCAATCTAAATGCATTGATGGAGGACCACAGTAAGTCAATTTGCCAATGGAACTCACGTAGAGGGGGGATTTTTTGCCACATTCAGGCCTCTTGTGGTCTTTCCTGTTAAAAACCTTGTTCTTTGGATGGTTCATGGAAGTCAAGAGAATCTCCTTTACTGCGTTTTTAGTGTTTCCGGCTGATATCTTGCACCATGGTTGGGGTTTCTACTTACTGTTTTTTCAGGTCCATCACTCTTTTCATCCTCATGGCATCTCAAGATAGATCAAATATTCTTTCTGCTAGGCTCCAAGATAATCACTTAGTGTCAAGCACATGAAGTACCATAAGAGTATCCCGTAATGCAGAATCCTTGGAGAGCATTAAGGTGTTCACCACAATCTTCCATTCTTGATTAAAACATCTTTGATCTGGGTGGACCAGAACAATTTGAACCTCGCCCATATCAAAGATTGCAACAATACTTAATACTCCACTTCCATTCAATAAATACTGTCAAAGTAAACCTTACACTCAACTCAGACAGTTGTCCTCTGCTTGTGCTGTGTTTATTACTTGTGAGGAATTTGTATGCCTTAGGAGAACTCTCATCTCAGCAAACTTTGTTGAAGTTCTGGGTAATTCAGAACAAATGCAACTATTTGTTGCAATTTTTTACATATCTTCATAGTCCTTGCTTCCTTCTATCTATGTAATTTCTGTAAGAATATCTGTAGTACTGAGGGAGTTCTGAAATTTCTTAAAAGCAGTGTGTCTTGCATTCTGCCTACCATCCCTGATACTGGAAAAGAAAATGCTGTTGATTAAATGAAACTATGTCTAGGCTTCTGTGACTGTTCCAGAGGTAGAGCTATTGCCTGGCATTGTATTCCACTCCAGTATTCTGCACTTGTTGCTTTTTTACCTCTCAACACTGCTCTTCAAAGCCCAGGTGTGACTGTTGGCCTGCTTCATTGGTATGTCAGCCTGAGACTGCTGGGGTGGTGATGTGGAGAAACACACTGAACTCAGCTAAACATCACATACTGGATTTAGCTGCCAGAACCCAATCAGAATGAGAGAGCAGTGCTGCCACTGATGTTGACTTGATGCAGCAAATAACATTCACTCTTTCCAGCAGCCAGCAGGGATGCTGCTGTCAGTAGCTCTTGCAGTAAGGTCTGCACTGATGTTTTGCTTGGTGTTCCCATGTCAGACTTACTAAACAAGGTAACAATCACTTGGATGCCATGATGGGTTTTCAGGCCTTGTTTCTTAAGAGAAACTTGGTTACAAGGAGCTGTTTCTCCTTGCAGGAATTGTGGATAAACCAAATTGATGTGCACAGTTGTTGATTTGTAACCCACATAATTTACTAATTTTTTTTAAAAGCATGGTTTACAGTGGGATTTGCAAACTGTATGATGAAAAATTGGGTACTGCAATGATAGTGGGCTTTTGTCAAAAAATTTTTAACAGTGCTGATTTCTTAACCAGCACTTCTTGTCTACTCCTGCTTTAGGCTTCTTAAGGGATATTTTAAGTGGCTGCTATAGTTTTTCAGATTACAGGAAGTGGGGCTTCCTCTAGCCTGACCCTTGGAGCCCAGCTGGTGTGTTCCAAAGGGCCAGGACTCTGTTCATCTGAGGCCCATGGATATGGCTGCTGCTTTCTTCCTTGGGATCCAACCAGTCATACACTGACACGTATTGTACTGATAGGGCTGATTATACAGATTGCTGTGCACCATGTGCTGTCTTCAACACCCACATGAAACACTGTCAGAACTTGTATACAACATAACTATAGACAGCCAAGTCTCCTGCCTTCTCTTCAGCTGATCAGGATTGAACTTCATTAGTGAAAGTGCATACTCCCTTCTGCAGCCTCACAACTCCATGCATGTTTATGAGCTGCTCAACCATCTATCCAAGGCTTGCTGTGTCTAATGCTCTGAACTCCATGGATCTCATACTCACCAGCTGGGTTAATGCATAGCAGCAAACAGCTGATGTATTTGTATGCATGCCTACCTGTATAGATTCCCTCAAATATCCGCATGGGCTCTTGTCCTGGCAGATATCCCTGCCTGGGTTGCCTGGATGCTGGCTAGACCAGCTTGAAGGTTGCTAGTTAATTACAGTCCTGCACACCAGCTGTGCAGGGTTGGAGAAATGCAAATCTTCTTTCTCAGCCCAGCAGCTGGTGCCCAGGCACACAGACCTTGCAGTCTGTGACTCCCACTCCAGTTGCTGGTGCTGAGAGACCCCTATGTGGGATCTCAGTCTCTCAGAACTGGGGGGCTCAGGAGTCCTGGAATGCTGCCAGAAATGTCTGGTGGCTGGACTTTGATCCCACATGGGAGATGACATCAGTATGAGGACGGGAGGATTTCACTGGGGTGAATGGTGAAGGGACAAGTTAATTGGAGTGTGAGATACAGGGTTTAAGATCCCTGTACAGGGGGGTCTAGAGAGGCAAGATGGAGGGATTGGGGCGTGCCCTTCTCCTTCTTCTTCTTCCTCTAGGCCTCCATCTTCTGTGGTGATGTTGGCACTCCGGGATTGGACCTTACTAGGGGAACACTGGTTAATAAGGGTAGAGGGTATTGGAGAAAAATGATAAATATTGTATACGTAACTCCGGGTATAAAGATAGACGACCGCCCCAGGGGCTCGCAGTGTGTGCCCGTGGCTGACTGCTGAGCAGAACTCTGTCAGGCCAAGAGAAAATCTTTTAGATAAGCAATTAATAAACACCGAGACCGAGAACAAATCTGAAGCTTCCTCTCGTCCTTTCGAACCCGGGGGCCCAAGGCCATCTTTGGGCTTTTCCCAGACCATCTAAACAGCACCCAAAATCCAACACCCCTACTCTGTTTTTCTCATCCCCTTTCTCTGCTCTAGCTAGTGCCTGTAAGCTGTGACTATGAAGCCTGTGATCCATGGTTTTATTTCAGTATCTGAAGCAGACCCACTTATTTGTTCCAGTTGCTGGTACCAGGATTTCCTTCACCTTCTATCAGACTACAGTTGCTGGCCCAGAACTCATTCACAGAATGACCACTAGCTCCAAGATAGGTGCTCTTACCATCTGCAGACATGCTCCTAGGACCTGTAGTTCCCCTTCCAGCTACTGATGTTGGACCCTTCCTTCTCTGTAGTTTCAGCTTCATCCCTTGTGCTGCTGCAGTTGCTAGACCTGAACAGACAGACCCATGCCTGCCTCCAGCTGCTGACAGTTCTTAGAGAGCATGTGCACATGGGCTTGAGAGTGAGATTGCACAGAATAGTTAGGATTTAATTAAATAGGATATACTGATGAGCATGTGCAGACTGGCAACCTTTTATGCCACAGGCCCTTTTGCTACCCTTTCCTATCTGTTGCCACACTTCTGTTCCCTGTGTCCTGAACGTTCCTTGATAAGCATAGTGTAGTTGCACAGGCCTTCCTTCAATATCCTCAATCCTTGTGGTGTTCTTCTTTCCCATGTATTAGCAGTCACAAGGTCCAGACTGCACCTCTATAAAGTTAGGCCTGGAGTTTCTTAATAGCCTGTCAATGAAGAACTGGAGACTTCTGGTCTTTGTCACTGTCTCAGTTGTGCCTTTTCTGTCAGGTTTATAGCTCTAGTTTATTGTTTTACACTTTACTTATTCCCCCTATTTATCTGCTTGTTTCTCTTAGTTTACTTATCCCTTTACATTGAATTGTCTCTGATTGGATAATCTTAATGAAGCAGAATTTTCTTTTATCTCCTTTTCCACAAAAATACATTATTTTGTATTTGAGCTGATCAGTAGTGCTGAATTTTTTATATTCTTAAGTGTTTATGAAATAATTTCTTTTTCCACACAGGTACATGGCTCCTGAAGTCTTAGATGATTCCATAAATATGAAACATTTTGAGTCATTCAAACGAGCAGACATCTATGCAATGGGATTAGTGTTTTGGGAAATAGCTCGGCGGTGTTCAATTGGTGGTATGTGGCAATCTTTATAAAATGGGACATATTAGGGAATTATGAGGAACTTACTTAAACTTATTCAGGTTCTGAATACAGTTTGCTCAAAAAACAGTGCAAAGTAATAGCCAGTTGATCTCAGACTTTCTAGTTGTTAATCCTGTAAATGATAACTGGTCTATTCAACCTCTTTCTAAATTGACAGACCATACTTGTTGAAGAAAATAGGAAATATTCTTCTTTTTTTCCAAATATTTACATAGAGGGGAGAAAAGGGTAAAATTTAATACTCTTGTGAGCAAGAGGCAAACACCACAAGATCTAGCTATAATGTGTTCAGATAAATCTATATCTTATTTAAAATGAAGCATGCTGTTATCAATCATGTGCTCTGAAGAAGCATGTTTTTAGTATAGCATGTGAAAGATTTGATGTAGCTTCTATCTCTTCCAATTTTATAAATTTTAGATCCTTTAAGGGTAATGTAAACACTTCTAAGGTGTGGTTAAAGATTTTTGTTTATTTATTTGTCAGTTGTTGCGATGTAGCTTTTAAAAATGAAACCAAGAACTGGTAGGGTACTGATAAGGAACACAGTAAAAAGTGAAGAATACATAATCCAGTGTTAGCTAAAATAAAGCTATTTTCATCCTGTTACAGGAATCCACGAAGATTACCAGTTGCCATACTATGACCTCGTTCCTTCAGATCCTTCTGTTGAAGAAATGAGGAAAGTTGTGTGTGAACAGAAGTTAAGGCCCAATATTCCAAACAGATGGCAGAGCTGTGAGGTATTAACTAACCTTGCTAAAGCTGCTTTAATGGACACTAGAGCTTTTAGTGATTTCAGTGGCTTAAAAATCATGCTTATTGTTGAAGGGAGAAGAGCTGCTTTTAGGAGAACTTAATTAATTTCATTCTAATCATTATGGTTTTATTAAAAGCATTGTTCCTTGGTTATACATAAGTATTTAAATGTAATTTCATAAAAATTAATAGCTAACTCTGCATGGAGGATTCTAGGATCCCTTCCTGTGAAGCATAGATGATGCTATTATAAATTACAGCTAGTCTGAATTACATTATGCAGGAAGCATCCTTGTAAATACATTGTACTGTGTCTGGCTGGGATTGAGTCAGTGTCCTTCATAGCAGGCTGCATAAGGCTGTGTTTTGGATTTGTGGCCAAAAGAGTCTGATAGCACACTGATGGTTTAGCTGTTGCTGAGCAGTGCTTACACAGCTTCAAGGCATTTTCCATTTCTCAGGTAGGTTGGGGGTGGACAAGAGCATGAGAGGGAGCAGAGCCAGGACAGCTGACCCAAACTGCTCAGAGGGAATATTCCATAGCATTGCTCTGTCACAACCAGTGACTCACAGACTGGGGCAACAGCTTCAGTGCACTGCTGGAGCAGTGAGGTACTGATAAGGATGAGGTGCTTTGAATAGAGGAGGGAACCTGGGTTGTGGCATGTGTGGAATGAATGCATGGCTAAGAGTTGGGCAAGAGTGCACAGGAAGGAGAGAAAGGTGGTTAACGCACTAACAAACTGTGAGACAGGTAGTTATCAGGATTAAAATGACTAAGGTAATACAGCTTTCATGGTACTTTGGAGCTGTTACTGTATTTAATCTGCCGTTTTTGTTATTTGCCTTGTTAAAAAGAACATGTAGAAGGACTCAGATTTCAAAGACTGGCTCTCTGAAGGATAAAAATACTTGAAAAATTTTTAGAATCCTTGCATAGCTTCAATCTGTGGAAGACAGCTCATGAACTTAATTGCTATGCATTGAAGTAACTCCTTAACTGCAAGTACAATTTAAAAGGGTATTTTTGTCCAATGTGAAAATTCAGAAAACAGTTACAGACAAGCTAATAATTTTTCATTAAAATATTATTTTCATGGGCCAAAATCTACTGAAAAATATCAGGTTTGCTCTACAGTGTTTAAAGAGTTTTGCTTTTCTGTAAATAAAGTAAGTTTTTTGGGGTTTTTTTAACAGTACACTCTCCTATGCACCTGTAGTACTAGTAATGGATTTCAGAAATGCCTGAAGAGTCTAAGACAGAGCAGCAGTTACATGGGCTACACTGGAACAGCAGTGCATCTAATGACTTGTGTTTCCTTTGCAGGCACTACGAGTGATGGCAAAAATTATGCGGGAATGCTGGTATGCCAACGGAGCTGCCCGGCTGACAGCTTTGCGCATTAAGAAAACATTATCACAACTTAGTCAACAGGAGGGGATCAAGATGTAATCCTGGATTTGCTACCGAAGAACACTGTAAAAATCCCTATCTGCACCAGAGTGGCGTGCTAAGAAGGTTAATTGTTCTACCTCACTGGGGGAACAGAAGGATATTGCTGCCTTTTAGTACTTCATAGGAACGTCACTTAGGATTTTTGTGGATGTGCTAAACAATTGTGTTGGGTCTTTCTGTGCACTATGAACCTCTTTCCCAGGTTATTTGCAAAACATCATCTACTCTAGTTTCATTAATCTGTAATTTTTTCATTTGGGAAATTGATAGCTGGTCTTGGCTAGTTAACTGTGCTAAAAGTAGGAGGTCACTTCTAAAATGAAACTGGTTCGCTATTTTGTTCTACAGTGCATTGATGGCTCTTAAAGCAACTTTATTCCTGCCTGGTACATTGACTACTCTGAACCACTGTCTCAAGTCCTTGATTCAGATTGTGAATGTACTATTGGAGTAATATTGGAGTATATACTATTGGAGATAGCTATTAAGGTGGTGCATCTTTTGGACTCTTACCTTGACTTACAAATTGACCTCATTCAGTTGTGGGAACATAACTTATGCAACTATACTTTATACGTGATTACTGGGTTTTTTCCACTTTTTCAGAACATTACATTGCCTTCAAAATAGATTGTATTACACCAGTAAGTGCCACTTTTGAGTCTTTTAATGCAAAATAGTAGGGATGTACAAAGCCTATGGTACTTTTGGTTTCAAAAATACAAGTTAAAAGTTGTTCCTTTGCCTAGCTAAGTGCTAAATCTCACTCATTGCAACAGTGAGTACAAAATTGATGAAATATCTGCAATTTTACCAAAATCTGACTCTTGAAACCACTGTAGGAGTTTTAAATAGTGTAAGCTAGTAAATTCACTGTCATATTTTGTAATTGTCAAGTTATGAGTCATAATTATTTGGGTTTTTTTTTTAATCAAGTGGTACTTCTAAAATGCTTGAAGTACCTATCTACTTCAGAAAAGTAGCAAGAAAAGTAAAATGTTAAGGGAGATTTTGCTTCATTAAATAAGTATGAAAAGCATATTTTCTGTGCAGTTCTGCTGAGTCTTAAGGCTCAAAGAACAATATTTGCAATTACACAATGATTAAGTGCACCTGTCATTAGAGAAGTTATTTGGGCTTTTGTACTAGACAGTTCAAAGCTGCTTATAAGTTTTATGTGCATGTATGTTGTGTGTGCCTCATACACAAAGTGGTGAGCTAGAGAAGGTGGTGAGCTGTAGGTCTTTGGATACAAATATCAGGGGATTCCAGCAATCCTCTTCATTGTTAAAAGAACAAAGCTTATGGTGACTTGTGTTGTCATAAGAACACAGAAGAATATGCATGGCTTTAGTCAAGATTTCCCTGAGTTTTTAAGAGTATCGTAGTATTTTCACAAACTTGTTTAGAAATTAAATTGCGTCCTGCCCCAACGTACAACAAAAACCTGTTGTTACCAGGATATTTTTTTAATTGCAATTTTAGCAAGAGTCTGGTTGGCCTTTGGTTTCATTAATGTCCAAAACAGTAGTATTTCAGTATGTAAATGTGCCTGGTAATCAATATGCTGCCTAACCTGCCACTCTTCAGAACACATCAGTGCCCATCTCATTACGCAGCACATGTGGCAACCTTTAACTCAGCTTCCCGTTCATCCCTTGGCATAGAACCCACTGAGAGTTTGTTACCAAGAGGGTGGCAGTGGCAGGGTGGTTGCTGGCAGCAGCACAGTCGAGTTCTGTGCCCTGGTGATGTGTGGCAGCTCAAGCAGGAAGAGGAATGAGGCCCAGGAAGGAGATGCTACATAGGTGACACGAGCCTTACCCAAGAAAAGCCTTAACCGTTAATTTTTATTTCTGTATTCTTACTGCTTGCTTGGAGGTGAGTTTAAACTATGTCAGAATTACAGGCCTTCAGAGGTCAAACTGCAAATAATGAAATGCTTTGTCAACAACAAAATGGATGAGTTTGTTCTTACTGGAAGACAGTATCCAGGAGAAAAGGGAAAAATAAGAGAGGTTCTTAGAAACCAATTAGGCTTAAACATACATGCAGCTGTCACACTTATGTTTGGCATTATCTGACAAGTGAGGCTTATGTGCTTCAGGCCTCTGTCAATCAAAGCCGGATTAAAAATTACTTCATGTAGGTATTTTAAATAAAATATGCCTTTGTGTGCATGAACAGTTGTGCACCACAGAGTTTTTCAATTAAATGTTAAAAAAAAATTGAATATAACATAACTTCCAAGCCTCTCTTCTTGGCAGCCTCTCTAGCAAGTTCAATGTATCTGTACAGATACTTTTAAAAAACAGGTCATCATGAAAATAGATCAGGGTCTCCATCTAATTTCAAAGGCTTCCTAGTTAGCAATTCAACTTTTTTTGTTTTGTAACTTTGTTACATTTCAAGTTTTCATAGGTGTCCTGGGGTCCTTACTACAGATACGAATGGTACAGGTCCTACTTCAGAAATATCAGGCTCCTGGTGTGCCTCAGATCTCTATAGTAATTTTGGTAGTAACAGGAATGTTCACAGTATCATTAATCAAAAAATTTTCATGGCTCTTTTTAGCACCCACTAAACCTTATCAGCGAAACATTTAATTTCCTAAAATATACAGAACAGTTCTGTTGCATTTTAAAGAGAATATACAGCGACTGGACAGCTTCATGGCATGCAGATGGTTCTGTCAACAGAATAACTGTTCTGTCAACAATATAACTGTGTGTTATATTGTATCAACCACCTGCAAATCTTCGCTCTCCTGAATTGCTCTTACTTTGTTCAAGATTTAGCTTTGTAATAGAAGCTTGCAAAAACAAAGCACAGAAGGATGCTTGACACTGTGTTATGACCTAAGGAACAGTGTTTTAGAGCAACCTTATAATTCCTATTAGGCTGCAGAACAAGAAAATTGTGAATAGAGCTATATGTATCCTCAGTTCTGACACCACAACTTCAAGCTTTGTTCTTCTTTTCCGTTATATGAACTGAACACCTTTTACAAAGGCTGTGTCTGTATATATTATGTAACTTTAAATGTTACCTGTGTAAGATCATATCTTATATATATGGACACAGGTACACATAAGTATTTTTTAAACTAAGATTGTAATATCACCAGATCTGCTCTTGGAAATCCAGGGGGACCAAAATATTTTAGCATTCAAAATATTAATTTTGTATCATTTCAAGTATATACCAAAACAGTTTCTGATTAATATTGATGCAAATGTTTATTGTAAATATTACATGCATTACACATTCACTTAAGTTTTGTGGATTTAATCAACTTTACATTTTAGTAGCATTGAAGCCTCAGTTTGGTTTACAGACTTGTGACCAGATGGATATGGACATGGAGAACAAGGAGCATTGGAAGTAGTCTGATGCTGAAAAGCCTGAAATGTCATTTTTGAAATGCTGGAATTCTTCAGGGACCCTCCAGCCTTAAAAGCTGGAATTCTGGGATGTTTCTCAAGCAGACTCTCCAAGTATGACACACTGTCACCCTCCTATGGTTCTGCTTGTAATCCTAAGAAAGACTTTGTATATAAGTAAAGACATTGGTATCGACTGTATGGGGACATGAAGGTGTCAAATGAAGTAAGAGGCTATTTTATTTTTTCAGTAATGGCTCTGAGTGTGATTGCCATGAAATTCACCTTTTAGTTAGTTCCTTGTTTATATTGTGCCATTGAAATGATTGCAAGATGTTAATCATTTTGTTTAAAAAAACAAGCAAATAAAAAAAATCCCTTCACTATATCTGTTGCTTTAAACTCAAATTACCTCTTAAAAGACCAAGGTACATTTACCTCATGTGTATATAATGTTTAATATTTTTAAGAATGTTCTCCAGGTTTGCAGTTATATGTTTCTAGAAATATGAGTATTGCTAAATTTACAACTTCAGTGGTACTAAGTGTATTATCTGGTGCCCCAAAACACTTAATTTTCTGTATTTTATTGTATTAGCAAGTTTGCTGCTTTGTCACTGTAGCACCTGCCCTTACATAGCTGTGTGGATACTGCCTTGTAAATTTTACTTTTTGGATGATTTGAGGATCCTGTACAGATGAGTGTCACTTTTTTAAACCTTACCAAATTGTGCATTTCCCTTACATTTCTGAAAATATGTATTGTATTTGTAGAGTATACATTTCAATGGATTGTAAATAGGACAGTAGAAGAGTGGATGCTTATGTTAAGTGCTAACACTACAGTAGAGAGATTAAAGCAGTGAAAATAAATAACTTTTTTCAAAATGCGTGAATTGTCTTTCAGAACAAGTAGTTGCAGGCAGATACAGGTTTGTGTGTGATGTTCTTACCTGCTAATATGTGTGTTTATTGTGAGTTCCTTTCCTCAGAAGGAATTTCTTCTAGTAAAAAAATGCTAAAAGAATTTGCTACTGCTGAGGCACTCCACCTCATCTGTGCAGTATGTACATAGTGCTAAAGTACCTGCTCTTCCTTGCCTCCTACAGTAATGTTGGTGCAGGAGCATTGCTTGTGTCTCTGATTTCCTGGACAAAATTAGTAATGACAAATTGTTCTCTCTCTATATTTGCATAAAAATAACAGGTAGTCTATTTTAGTCTGTTTAGGCAGCTCAGCACCTCAGTGCATCCCATAACTGAAAGTAAAATCTGCTTGTGTTGGAGTGGAGTGTTTCTGTGCAAAACAGAAACAGTGTTTCAGGCTGGTGTCACATTTCTGAAGGAAAGTGGCTATTTAGACACAACAAAAATAGAACATCTTCCCCTCATCTGAGTTTAGGTTCATCCTTCAGTTTTGGCTCAGACAGAATTACCAAAAATTACTACTTTCAGCAAACTTTCTCCACAATGGGAAGCTATAAGGTGTCCAGATAAAACCTATAGCTACACCAAAATACTGTGTTCCTTTCAAATGCTTTTACAAGAGCTATGATTATTTTGGTGAGAACACATCCCTCTCCCATGAGTGGCTAAAGGAAAGCCTTTGCTACCCCTGCAAGCAACCAAAACTCAGTAAAATCCTGAATCCCTCTACTGCATTTGGTAGTAGAGGAAATGGGTGGCCTGGAACTAACATAACAATGTTGCTGTCTACCAAACTTAGTTTTCATGACGTAGTTTTCTCTATTTCAAGCTTTGAGGGACTGAGCCTAACAACTGAAAATTCATAAACCACAAACAATTACCACAAGTAACTTAAATGTGAGGATGTTTTAGGATCATTTTAGAGGAGACACTGAATTCAGATCTGCGTGCTGGTTTGGATTGCAAGTCAGCATAGGGAGTGGCAGACTTTCAGCTGGCTGTTTTGCACAGTATAATTAATTTTTAAAGTGTGGGACTTTTGAAAGAAATTGTTTTTAATACCCACTGCATCCAAAACCTACTTTCTATAGGTGCAGCATAACTAAGCATATATAAACAAACCACTTCTCTTCAGTACCAAGTACGTTCTAGTAATTTCCTTCTGTCAATTTTTGTGACATTGGTAACTGATGCACAGTCATGTACCCAGTAATTGTAGAATAGCATAAGGGTGGTCCTGGCAGAAAATATATTCCTTTTAAATAGGAAATCAGAAATTCCACATCTCTCACTCGGTGCTCTTACTAGCTTTTTTTATCTATGCAGCTAAGCCCTAATGTTTTTTACTTGAACAAACAGTGTGTATTTTTTTGCTGAAGAAGGGTAACTGAAATCTCACACTGCAAACCTCCTTACCAACATGATGGGCTGCTGGGGTTTTGAGTCTTGTAGTTCTGTCTTGGAGTGACTGGAGTTGTTCTATGTCTTCTATGTTTGAAAAAAAAAGAAATGTTGGCATAGCATTTCCTTTGTCAACTTGCCTGGACTGCAAATAAAATCCAGTAGTGCTCAAGAAACCTACCCCCTTAAGTCTTCCTCAGAGTTTCTTGAAAATAAGATTTAAATCCCTAGTCTCTGAGCTGAATTGGTACCTGAAACCATTACCTCTCTTGAGAAGAAGAAAAAAAAAAAGCCAGAGCAAACCATACTGATATGCTCCTATGCATGATTGCAGTGTTTTATTGGTATTAAAAGATTTCTCAGTAGAGATGAAGTCTGCATCCTCACAATGTGTTTCTAATTGGCTCAATTAGGAAAATTAGAAGAGCTCTCCCACCTGCCAGTAGCAGAAAATCTGTGTAAACAGTTGAAGAATCAGGCACATGATACTCAATTTTATAGAATATCAGATATATTTGTGTAGATTTTAAAATGAGGAGTGAAGAAGATAGGAATATGCCTTTAAATCCTGCATCTGCAAGATGCAGAACTTGTGGGATGCACAGTGAAGGGAAAAAGGGAGAGGTTTAGGTGACCTGGAGAGGAGTGAGCATGGGAAAATAGAGGAATAAAGAGATAAAAAGAGTGGGTCATTATAAATAGCAGACCAATCAGTGTGCCAGTCTGTCTGTGCCCAGCACAGCCTCTTCCTTTATTTTTAAATCCCTTCCTGCCTAAGGAACTTGGTTCTGGGGCTGCAGGGCTGTCTGAGCACAGCAGCTGGAGCCAGAGCACAGCAGGGAGGTCCTGTGGGTCTGTGGAGAAGCAAGGGGAAAGAGGAGAGTGAGCAAACTCGAGTGTCAGCAGCAGGAGTGTGACCACCGGTCACGGATGCCCGCGTGTCCATAGTGCCAGCAGTGTGGCTCCAGGCACCAGCGGCTGGAGTGGGACTGAGCCCCAGGCCCGGAACCAGTGGGACTGGGATTGGGGCAGCTGCTTGCAGGGTGTGCATCTGCCTCTGAAGATGTGGGGGTTCTTAATGTTGGCTGTTCTGATCTGTCCTTATGTTTTGGTGGCTCTGCATTACCTGCTAATGTGGACAAGGAGTTAACTTGTTTTCTGTGGGGATTTGTGCCCCAGTGCACTGGGCCAGTCCTGAGATTTCCTGCCTGGCTCTTACAGCTTGGGCAACAGAAGTTTGTACATCCAGAACTGGGCATCACTGTTTTGATTCTTGGCATTGGTCATCAATCCACAGGGACTAGAAAACATCTACTTTATCACAGTATTAAATTAAGTATCTGAAAACCTAGAAAGCAAAGGCAATAAGCATCTGTCTTAAGAAAAGGTGTAGAACAAGAGTTAGTGATAAATTCCAAGTTGACTCTGTGTTGTAATAATTTATCTATTGCTCTGGACTATTGCTAATTTGCATTAATGAAATTTTCCCATTTCCTTCTATACTTTGGGTGTGGGAAACGTGTGTGTAGTCCCACTGTTCAGATTCTTAATTAGTACAGGAATGGGGTAAAGAATGGCAAGAATTCTGTGATACTACAGTTGCTGTCTAATTCTTATGTGTTTCCAAAGAGTGGAATCAAGCTGTGTTTCTTTTGGTTTTTGCCCTCCTGTGGCTTGGACTCTCTGACCTACATCTTCCATGAAGACAGTTTTGTTGTTAATACCAGAAGGGCCAGTGAGACTCAGCTCTGGACAATTCTTCATGGCAGCGAGCTACCTTTTTCTTACCTTTGTTCAGGAAAATGTTTTGCCTATGCTTTTTTTTGCAAAGATAACTCTTTTCCATGCTAGATGATAGAAGGCTTTAACTTATGTACTGTGAGACCTGAGCTCTTGCAGAGATCCTCATTTCCATCTATCCAAGTCAGAAAGGTTCACGTACTGTTGGTCTCTTCACTGCAGTAATATTGTCAAATTGCTAATTGCCATCTC